CCTAGCGCAACCTCTCTTTCGCGCTCACCAAGAAAGACCAGAAATGGACCTGGGGAGACGCCGGCCGCCGCCTTTCAAGCCATCAAGGACGCGGTCGTATCAGAACCTGTCTTAGCGATCCCGGACGACTCTCGGCCTTTCCGACTTGAAGCAGACAGCTCAGATTATGCGACGGGGGCGGTTCTTTCACAACAATCCGCCCCGGACGGGAAGTGGCACCCTGTAGCGTTCTATTCCAAAAGCTTAAATGATGTCCAGCGCAACTACGAGATTCACGACAAGGAGATGCTCGCGATCATCCGCGCACTCGAGGAGTATCGGCATTTCCTCGAGGGCGCCGCGCATCCGGTTGAGATCTGGACTGACCATAAGAACTTGGAATACTTCCGAAAGGCGCAACACCTTAATCGTCGGCAAGCCCGATGGTCGTTGTACCTTTCCAGGTTTGACTTTACGCTGCACCACGTCCCCAGGTCGCCAGATGGGCCGTCCCGATGCTCTCTCTCGCCGGCCTGACCACGGTGTCTCCGACGACAACTCGGATGTCACCCTCTTATGCCCTGAACTGTTCCACGTTCGCGCGCTTGAGGCCGTCACTGTCTCTGGGCCTGGCTCCGAACTTGTCCGCGACATCAAGGAAGCGCTATCCGGTGAGCCTGACCTAGAGGAACCCGTCGCACTTGCGGCTCGGCAACTCTTGAAGGTCCGAGGTCAAGCTCGGGGCCCCCGCTCATCGCGTTCGGACGAGTGGGCCGTCTCAGGCGACCTCCTGTACTTCCGCGGCAAGGTTGTAGTCCCCAAAGACAAAGACCTGAGGAGGCGCATTATAGAGCTCTGCCACGACACGCGTGTCGCCGGACATGCCGGGCGGTTCAAGACCCTGGAGTTGGTTTCGCGCAACTACTGGTGGCCACAGATGTCCCGCCATATCGGACGCTACGTCGCGACCTGCGACTTATGCTGTCGTACGAAGGCCCTCCGAAGGCTTCCGCACGGGGAGCTACATCCAACCGAAGTCCCCCCCGAGCGCTGGCACACCGTCACTGTGGACTTCATCGTCGAGCTCCCCGAGGCCCATGGGTATGACGCGGTTATGGTAGTGGTTGACGCCCTCGGGAAACGCGCTCACTTCACCGAATGCCATACGACAATAGACGCGGTCGGAGCTGCCCGCTTGTACTATCGGAACGTCTGGAGGCACCACGGAACCCCCGAGAAGTACATTTCGGACCGCGGTTCGCAGTTCATCGCTGACTTTACGCGCGAACTCTGGCGCTTAATTGGCGTCAAGCCGGCTACCTCTACGGCTTACCACCCGCAGACCGACGGACAAACCGAACACGTTAACCAGGAGCTCAAGCAGTACATCCGAATCTTCACCAACTACCAACAAGACGACTGGGACGAGCTTATCCCTGCCGCTGAGTTCGCCTATAACAACCACGTTCACTCCTCTACTCAACAGGTACCCTTTATGACGGACACTGGCCGGCTCCCCCGAATGGGTTTCGAGCCGGGCACCCGCTCAGAGTTGGAGTCAGTGAACGAGTTTCGCGATCGGATAGCGAACGGCGTCTCCGAGGCGAAGGCCGCGCTCGTCAAAGCCAAAGACGAGTATAAACGGTACTACGACCGGAGACGATCGGACGCTCCGAATATTCAAGTTGGTGATAAGGTTTGGTTAGACGCCTCTGACATCAGAACAACTCGGCCCTCCGAGAAGTTCTCCCACAAGCGCCTCGGACCGTTCAAGGTGCTCGCAGAGGTTAGCAAAGGTGCCTACAAGCTCGACCTCCCCCCGCGTTACTCCAAGCTCCACCCCGTCTTCCCCGTTGTTAAGCTCGAGCTCGCTCAGGACGACCCCTTCAATGGACGACCCGGCTACGACGAACCGCCCCCCGAACTAGAGGATGGAGTCCCCGAATGGGAAGTCGAGGAAATCTTGGATGCCAGGATAAGGTATAAGCGTCTTAACTACTTCGTCAGGTGGAAAGGCTACGATGCTTCGCACGACTCGTGGGTTCGGTTCGACCGTGTCTTTGCGCCAGACAAAATTGCGGACTTCTATTGGAGGTACCCAGGTAAACCACGGCACATCGCCTCAGCGACCTTCGACTCCTTGCCCTTCCGAACTATGCGTCGGGACGCCGCATTCAAAGGGGGGGGGTGATGTCAGGGGAACCCCCGCTTCGGCCTCCTTCGGACCCTCCGAACGCATCCGACGCGCATCCGACCGGCGCCCCCTCGGACGCTCCGACCCACCCCGACCATCGTCCACGGCCTCCTTCGCCCGCACAATCACCGATCCGTCAAGACCTTCCCAACGATCACCTTGGGACAGAGCCTGCAACGCCGCTCAGGCCTTCTGCGCTCTACGTCGGCAGCTACGGACGACCAGTATATAGTTGGCGCCCTAGCAGGCGGACCCTTAGAGTTTCTTCTCTTTGGATCCTCCCCTGCTAGGTCGGTCCCTCCGTGTATTTCCTGTAGTCTTATTCACGCTTTGGATCCTCCCCTGCTAGGCTTTCGTCGGAGTCTCCAGGGTTGCCCTTACACAGAGATATGAAGCCTCATTTCCCCAGGTAGGCCTGGGGTGGGCACTGAATATCTTAAAATAATTTCTTGCATTTCAACTGGACTATGATTGTTAACTTACTCTAACTAATTCAAATTGTTTCTCTCTCTCGGCAGCCCCTCACAACGATGTCAGATTAATGTTATAAGCCAATGTAAGGCTAAGTAAGTACTTATACTGATAGTAGATGGCTGGTGACAGGCAGAGCCGCCGGCCCGGGATTGGAGGAGATCGCTGATATGTCACAACACCACCTATCTCTCAGAGCAACATTGTCAATGATATGTCAATCCTGACTACCTTGTTGCTATTGATTCCAGCGTGAAACAATAGCGGGACTGCCTATCAGACCGTTGGGCAGCTGGGTTTAATGTTGGCAGCCTGGCTGATTCTGACTCTCTTTGACGCTGGGATTGAATCTTTGAGTTGACAGTCCTGCATGTCGATATTGCTGAGAGAATTGCTAGCAAGTTCCTAGATGCTAAGGCAGCCTTAGCATTAGTAAGGCATGGAAGATATCGATGCTAACTGCCAAATTGAGCCAAGCATGTACTGCGCGTGCGCGCTTGGTTCTACGGAATGATATCTGCGCGCGCCAAAGCCGACGTGGACGACTAGCAAGGCTGGAGCGCACGATCTGACGCCCAAAGTGCCCGATTCTCGAGGAGGTCTGTTTATAAGTTATAACATTTGCAAATCCAGTAGTCGGCGTCGGGATTGAGTCTTGACCATGCGGCACAAGTACAGCGTATCGCCATATTATTGCACATGCCAGTGCTTGGCCTTTGGCAGGTTTGACGACGCATCGCTCGAAAATCCTAAGGACGAATACTCCGAGAATTCCCGAAAACGGTGCACGGCCTCCCACCGTCTGTCAAGGCACGCCCGTACCGTTCCGAATCGACGGTGGGAGGCGCGTGACGTGATCGACGCCCGCCGATCCTGGACTTGGCGGCGCGAGAAATCAACGAGAAATATTCGCGAGAAAATGCTATTGGCGCGGCGGCGGAGCGCGGCGGTAGGCCCGGTCGCGTGTGTTGGGCCCGCGTCGCACGGTGATTTCTGCCCATCATCCATGCTTGAGTTGAGGGTGCGACGGTGCGTGGAAATTTCCAATTGCCAATGGACAATGAAGGCTGATCAAATTTGTTGTCGTCCGGGACGACCTCGAGGTGTCGTGCGAATGCGATTGCACGGATCTGCGGTACCGAGCGAGGACAAGACTATTAGACGGGACAGGAACGGTGGGGGGTATTGAGCAAGTATTGATGCCACAAGTGCAGCCAGATAAGCGCAGCTATGGAGGCGTCGTCCATCCGTGCTGCCGCGCTATCATTAGCAAGTTGGAAGTATTTGCGATTGAGAAGAGGACTGAATGAGTACTACCCAGGCCGTCATCACTGGCAGTATTGCCGCCCATCGAGCGCCAGCGCAGAAACTGGCATCGCGTAGGAGAAAAGTGACGAGAGAGTGGCCGCCGGAGGGGCGGGAGGATGGAGGCAATGAGATGGATGCACCATCAGAAACCAGCGTCATGAACAGGCCATGAAGGGGGCAGTGGACGGAATTCAAGTGCAATTAGTAGTTGCTAACGCCAGCTCCAAATTTGGTCCTGATGATGTGCCAGGACGCCGCGCGGGACGTTCCAGGAAGTTGGAATGCCGAATCCCGATGTGGGCGTAGCGAGCGGCGGACGCTAATCCATCTGCACCGTCCTACGTGTGATCCATTCAAATCGCACTTGCACGATGCCAAAGCTCGCGGGTGACAGTGGTTCGTCAAGTTGTCTAAGTCGTAGCATACACCGCGAGCCACGGCCCAACCATCGATGCGCAAGCAACTGAAAGCAGAGCACAATGTCGAAAAGCGTCGAGGGTGGGGATTACCTAAGACAAGACGGGCCGAATTCGGTGAGGCTGTGAGGAATGATGGGCATAGCCGTTGCCAAGGAGGTCGGCTGCTCGGATCCGGCGATCTGTCCCCAAGAAGGGTTGCTTCTGCACCCTCACCTTCATTTACCCATAGTCGAAAAGCGCCCCACATAGAATGACTCGTGTGGCTCCCCGACCACCCAGGAGTCGGGCGAGAGGGCGTTTCAATCCCCCCGCGACCGCTCGCGATCGGATCTCGGAGCGCGCGTTAAGCCAACGCCAAACCCTCGAAGATTCCATCCCTTTGCCTTCTTCGTGCAAATCTCATCATTCACGCCTAGTGCGACACCTCCTGCCAGACGTCCAACATTTCCCCGGGGCTCGCGCACAGGCTGTCAGTTTTTGCTTTTAGCGGCGGTGGCTCGAAACACCGCGTCTATTGAGTCAGAAGCGACGCGCTTTGGGGTATATAACACACGCGTTGGTGCGTTCTCACATCTTTTGTTGCCACTGTCACCCCAGCTTAACGAATCCAGCAGCACACTATAGCTCCAATGGAGGCATTTCGACATCACGATACTTGGTCCTCGTACTGGCAATACGGTGCGCCGCTCCCTTGCGTATAACTCTCCCTTATCTCTTGTCAAAGGGCAGGACACACATTACTCCCCCCACCAGACGGCGCCATACTCGCAGCCCTACCCACCCGTCCACTTCCGGCCGATGTACCCCGAAGACAACGCGATGGCTGCTGCTGCTGCACGCAGTCAGTGGGGCCACTGGCAAACTGCGCTCTACGACGACAGCGAATGGCAGTTGCCTGCAACGGGCGACTTCCGCGATATCTTCGCCAGCACTGAACTGCCCTACCTTGGCGAATCGTCGAGCGCCAGTTCCCCCAGTTCTTCGAACTACCTCCCTTCTCCGCTCCCCGACCTCCGCGTTCTCGCGCTCCCGTCTTCCCCATCAGCCTCCGCTACTAGTTCCCCTCCGCCACGGCGATCCAGCACGGATTCGACGGCATCGACCAAGTCGGGGAAGGTCTGTGCCCATTGTGCGGCCACCTCTACGCCCCTTTGGCGCCGAGACCCGGCCACCCACCGCCCGCTCTGCAACGCCTGCGGGCTCTACCTCCAGCAGCGCAACAAGATGCGGCCCGCGGCGCTGATCGCCGCTGACCAACGCTCAGACGAGGAGGACGGCGCGGGCCTGGACGGATCGGAGCCCACGTGCTCGCACTGCCAGACGCGCAAGACGAGCGTGTGGCGACGGAGCAAGACGGGCCAGCGCGTGTGCAATGCGTGTGGGGTGTACCAGCGGCTGAGGGGGCGCGACCGGCCGTTGAACTTGCGCAGGAACAAGATTCGCCCGCGGTGTAAGCATCCGCTGCCGAAGTAGGGTGAGAACTGTGGGGATTGAGTCGTATACCATTTACCGTGGGTCGAGAATAGCCACCGCCCACATGTATGTACAACAGACGCGTCTAATCGGACTATTGTGACTGGTAGACGCAAGGTAGACGGACTGCCATAGACGGACCAAGAACAGCACAACAGTAGAAAACAACGGAAAGTCATCACCTACTATGATGCGCATAATATAAGATCATTTTTCATTATTTATTAAGTTTTGCTACAACTAAGACCTTTTGACCATGCTGAGGTTTGAAAACAAGTGATGGTTACCTAACTGAGTGATGAAACCCAAGTTTTATAACATAACAGAACTCAGGTTTCAGTTTGACAGTTCAGCGACTGAAGCTGAAGTTTTCAGTGACTATGCTGAATGGGAAATCATTTCACAAGGATGTCTCACTGGCATAGGGTCAAGGGGGTGTCACGTGTCAAAAAGTGACAACCGGGATGGTCGGTCGGTCCCCCCTCCGGACCCTTAAAAAATTTTGTTGGTAGAAACTTTTTGGCTGAAATGGTAAGTCAAAATTGTCTTAGGATGGGTTACAAGTACTGTTTGGTGCACTATACATCCATAATTAAGTATCAACAATCTCACAAGTGGTTATTTTTCAGTATCTCATCATCAGATGGAACATTGTGACAAATCAGACCATATGGGGATGGATATCTGTACTCTGGAGTGAGATTTGTAAGACAATGACTATATCAGGACTTTGTCTACAAGATATATATATAGCTAGAAGTCTATTTAACCTCCTGCGCGCTGGCCAAGAGGAGGTGTGTATGTGACGAAGGATCAAATAACTGAGGCGGGAAATTGGCAACAAATGGATGGCATTTGGGTCCCAACGTTCTCGGGCCGACACGGGGCCGACTCAAGCCAACTACTGGAGACTAGGTACTAGACGGAAAGAATGGATGTAGAGTGGAGATGAAATAGAGTGTAATTGTAGCAGGGATGGTGGGAGGGGGAAACTATGCGAGCAATTGAGCTGCGAGCGCAGCGTGAGACGACAACATCTCCCGTCACACTCGAGGCAGTATATTTAGTGCTGTACACAAAGAGAAAGGGAAAACATGAAAGAAGAAAGAGACACGCGTCGCGAGGCGACACACATCGGGCCGAGCTGGGTTGTTAACCCTGAGCAATCCCTCTCCTCCCTGATTGCTCACCCAGTTTCTATTAATGTTCTTGGAAATTCAGAGGACTGACTGAGTTTGATGCTATCAGATCACATGACTGTGTGAATTACCTTCCTAATATGGTAATGTCACGTCACAGTCACGGTCGGTGGGTCCCCTGGAAGGGCTTAAACAAAAAGTCCAACGTATGTTCCATTATTTTTTTTCTGATACCCCCTTGCATAGGGTGATTTTTTTTCATAGCTAATTTCTAAATTGTTATTAGCCATAATGTTTATGATAACCTTCACATTACTACTAATAATCAGGGCTTCACTAAATATTCGATAAATGGTCAAAATGTTAACATCAATATATAGACTGAGAGATTATGAGATTATTAGCCTGGCTGCTATAAGTGGTAAGTGAACTTAATACTGTACTATTTTAATCAATTCATTAGCCTCGGAGCGGCTGTGTGACTGACGGAACACAAGCAGGCGGCCCCGCAGGGGCCAGCCCGACCCGGGTGCCATCACCCAGGCCAATTCATCAGCTCCGTTGGCACCCTGTGACTGACAAAGGTTTTCGTCAGTTTTAATAGGGTGTAACGCGTAACTGACTGTCAGGGGAACCTCCCTTTCAGCCCCTTGGAGACGCGTCCGATTCCGGTTCCAACTCCGGTCCGGCCCTCCATCTCGCCCGCACAATCACCGATCCGTCAACGCCCTCCCGACGGTCGCCCTGGGGCCTCACCTTCAATGCCGCCCAAGCCTTCTGTGCCCGACAGCGGCAGCTACGGACAAGCAGTATACAGTCAGCTACCTAGCAGGCGGATCCTTAGAGTTCCTGCTAGGTCAGCTTCATTTGTATTCGCTTACCAATGTTCACACTTTGGATCCTCCCCTGCTAGACCTTGATCTCAGGCCTCCGGAGTTGCCCTTACACTGACGAATTAATTAAAATAGTACAGTACAGAGCTTAAGAATATTAAAAAAAAAATGTCAGAGGAACCCTCCTCTCGGATAAAGCTCCTAACAACTGGCACAGGTGAGATACCTCCACTCACCTGCAGGTTTTTTCTGCTCAAAAATCAATACCTCCATCCCTGGCTGGTAGTAGGACACAAGGTACCTCCATCCGCAGATACAGGTACCTCTCACAGGTACCTGCAGATGGTGAGGGGTAATATCTATTGGATCATATATGAAGACAGTGATTGTCTGGTGTAAAGTGTTTATAAGCTTCAATAAATGATATTTCAAAAGCAGTATAAGTGAGTATAAGTGCATAAGGTACAGGTACGTATGACCTTCTGCACCAAGACCTCCATCCCCTACCATCCGTGAGTGTCAACGCCGGGCTCGGGCCGTATCGGGGCGTCGGGGGGTCCGACTTCGAAGGGGTCTGGGAGCACGAGGGATGGGTATTCGCCCGGAGAATAGACGATATTAGCCTAGCGACTACATCTTGTAAGTACGGTTTTTATATGCTACGATATTACGGATGGATCGGATGGGCGCCAGGTCCCAGGGCGGATCGGATGGGCGCTGCGTAGGGCCGCAGGGGTGAAGGGAAGGGGTTGGAAGAATGGGGGATTGTCGAAGGGGCGGCGGTATGCGGGCCCATGCAGGCCCGTTCGGGCCCGTGCGGCCTTATGGCCCAGACGGCCCGACCCCGAACCGTGACATCACCCCCTCCGTTGTGGGCGGCGCCTCGACGCCCTATGGGTCTGTGTCCCCTGGTCTTGCTTTCGGATCTTCCATCGGCCGTTTACGAGTTCTTCGCGGGGTGCGAACGGGTTAAGAATATAGAAATCCTCGAGTGCCTCTTCTGCGCCTTCCAGTTTGTCCCGCAGTTCCCACGTCCACTCTTCTCGAGGGTAACCTTTCCACTGAATTAGGTACCTCAGGCGATGTCGACCTTGCTTGCATACGAGGGAAATGGCCTCAACTTCGTAGTGAGGCTCGCCGTCCCGCATCTCTGCCGGGGGTGGCGGGGCGGCCCGTTGGTGTTCCGCTACTGGGGCGTTCCACGGTCGCAATAGCGCCGTGTGGAATACGGGGCTCACGCGCCAAGTTGGGGGTAGTATCAGTTCGTAGGACGTTTTACCGACTTTGTGCTTGACTTCGAACGGCCCGAATCTTTTGTCGTCTAGTTTTTTCGAGGGCCTATCGCTGGTCAAATTCGTCCCCTGAAGGTAAACTTTGTCCCCTTCGGCGTAATTTGGGTCCGGAGAGCGCTTCCGGTCGTAGTACTTCTTCATCGTTTCCTGGGCTTCTTTCATGGCTTCGGCCGCGTCGGCCCGAGCTTCCTTCATCCGTTCGGCAAAAACTGTAGCGGCTTCGGTCGGGACCTCTTGCGGGGCTTCGGACCCCTTCCTCGGGTGAAATCCCAACGTGAGGAAGAAGGGCGAGAATCCCGTTGAGGAGTTAACTTTATCGTTGAACGCAAATTCCGCTAGGGAAAGCCAGTCAGACCAGTCACTCTGCTGGAAGTTGCAGAATGTTCGAAGGTATTGCTCGACCTCCATATTCGCACGCTCCGTTTGCCCGTCCGTCTGCGGGTGGTACGCCGATGAGGATCGAACCTTGATTCCCAGCAATTTGCTCAAGTCGCTCATGAAATGCCCGATGAATTGCTGGCCCCGGTCGCTAGTTACTTCCTCTGGAAATCCGTAATCCTTCCAGACATGATCACGATATAGCCGAGCGACTCCTTCCCCGGAGATGTTCCCCGTGCACGGGAGTACACGTATCCCTTTACCCAGTCTGTCGACGATCACGAGGATTGTGTTGTATCCGGAAGACTCGGGTAGTTGCACGATCAGATCGATTGATATGCGCTGCCATACCCGAGTCGGCACGCTATTCGGGACCAAGGTCCCTGCGGGGCGTCTCGGGAATATCTTCGTTCGTTGGCACAACGGGCAGGCCCGTACGTACACCTGGCAATCGGTATGAATAGACGGCCACCAGTAGTTGCGGGTCGTCAGTTCGAGGGTTCGATGCCACCCTGGGTGTCCCACGATAGGGATGTCATGGTGTTGGCGTAGCACCCGATGCCTCAATCCCATGGCTGGGGGTACGTATACGAGTCCGTTCCTAGTCTTGAAGCCGTCATGCTGTTCCCAGCCTTCCGGTTCTCCTTCTTCCCAGAGTTTGAGGACCTTTTCCTCTGTGGCCGATTCGGCCCGTCGGATCGAGTCCATCAGCCCGTCGCCCTCCGTATGCTCCAGTGTGAGCATAGCGCGGATCGCGTGTTCCTTGAATAGCCCCGCCGGTAGTAGGATGATATCCTGGTTATCCTCTTTCCCGTTGTCGTACCCGTTTCGTTGGGATAACGCGTCGGCCCGCCCGTTCGTTTTCCCCGGCTTATGCAGCAAGGAGAAGTGATACTCGCTCAGTTTGAGTGACCATCGTGCCTGCCGCCGGTTCAGTTTTTTAGCAGTCATGAAGTACTCCAGGTTCTTGTGGTCGGTCCAGATTTCGAACGGCTTATCTCCCCCGTTCTGGAGATAGTGTCGCCACTCGGTGAGGGCCCGCATGATAGCGAGCATTTCTTTGTTGTGAATGTCGTAGTTGCGCTCGGTGTTGTTCATGGCCCGGGAGAGGAATGCGATCGGTACCCACTTCCCTTCTTGCTCTTGCGAGAGAACGGCCCCGGTAGCGAAGTCGGAAGCGTCCGCTTCGACCCGCCATGCCCCGTGATCCGTAGGGAAGTGTAGAACAGGTTCGTCAGTGACCCGGTCTATCAAGGTCTGAAAGGCCTCCTCCTCTTTCGGTCCCCATTTCCATGGGCTGTCCTTTCGGGTCAGTCGAGTCAGTGGCTTGGTGTACGCGCCGAAGTCCTTGATGAATCGTCGGTAGAAGTTGAGGAACCCCAGGAAGCTTTGCACCTCCCGCAAATTACGAGGTCGGGGCCATTCGCGCACGCCCGCGACCTTGATCGGGTCCATGCGGAGTTGCCCGTTCCCGACGATCACACCGAGGTATTCGACTTCGTTCCGCTCGAAGTCACACTTGTCCGGTTTCAGGTACAGTTGGTTGTCCTTCAGGATCCGTAGGACCTCTTTCACCGTCGCGCGATGTTCGGAGAGGTCGCTGGAGTATATGAGGATATCGTCCAGGTACACGATCACGCGACCCTGGGAGATCAGGTTGGAAAACAATTCGTTCATCATGGATTGGAACGTGGCTGGGGAATTGGTGAGGCCGAAAAACATCACGAGTGGCTCGAATAGGCCCCGATTGGTAACGAACGCGGCCTTCTCTTCGTCGCCTTCTTTTATGCGGATGTTGTTGTACCCCCAACGTACGTCGAGCTTGGTGAACCACCGGGCGTTACGTAACTTATGCATGATGTCCGATATGAGTGGTATCGGGTATCGGTTTTTGATAGTGATCTCGTTCAGCTTCCGGTAGTCCTGTACGGGCCGTAATTTCCCGTCCTTCTTCTTGACGAAGAAGAACGGGGATGCGTATGGGGATTTCGAGGGCCGAATCCGCCCGGTTGCCAAGTGTTCCTTGATGAATGCGTCAAGCTCTTTCTGTTTCTCTCCTGATAGGGGAATGCAGCGCCCTTTGACGGGTTCGGTGTCTGGGTGTAGTTCAATGGCATGGTCCTATTTCCTCCGTTCCGGGAGTTTGTCGAAGTCCTGTTTTTCAAAGACCTCCTTGAATTCCTCAAGATAGTGCGGCGGGTACGCTCTCCTCGGTGGTTCGGGGCTTCTCGGCAGCGTAGGCGGCAGCGGCCAGTTTGGTGGCCACGCTCTGCATGGCCCGGATGTGGGCGGGCGCGTTCGAACCTTCGTCGTATATCCGCGTGACGAAGAGGCGATCCCCTTTGCCCAGGGGTTCGTCGTCCTCTTTGTCCCATTGTTCCAGCAATTGGGCCCGCTTGCACTCGGGCGGGCATCGGGTGAAGGCGATCGCCCCTTCACGCCAGTCGATCACGGGATTGTGCTTCTTGAGCCAGTGATGCCCGATGATCACATCACTGTTCCCGTCCGTGATGGCGAACGTCAGAAGTTCGGAGTGATCCTGAATGACCCGTAAGCGGGTAACGTGGGTGATTGCCCCGTCGGCGTTGATCGTCCCGTCGGCGTTGTACACTAGGACTGGGTGCGGTAGGGCTTCGAGTTCCAGTTGCGAGTCCTCCGCGAACCGCTTGTGCATGAACTCGGAGGTGGCGCCACTATCGAGGAGGGTGTCAACCAAGTACCCGCGGAGGTCGTTGACCCCTTGAAGGGTGACGGCTACCCGCGTAGCCGTGGTGCCTTCACTTTTCCGAAAGGGGGGAGCATTTTGCAGTTGTCGCAAAGCTTCGGCTACATCGGGGGCGTACCCCGTTCGTATGAACTCTTCTAGTTCGGGCCCATTCTCGGCTCGTCAGGCCGGATGTATCCACTGTTGTAGTTTCGAGCGGGCCTTTTCGGGCTGATCTCGAATCTGCCCGACAAGCCTCTCGTCGCTGGCCGCGGGCCAATTCTTCCAAGCGGGCCTCGGGGGTATCTCGTACGGCTTTGTACGGGCCCTTCTTGCGGGTGGAAACGGCGGGTTGCGGGGTTCTTTGTTCGGGGTTGGTTTCTACGTCTGGTCCCATGTATCTCTGAGTTGGCAACATGGAATATCGATTATGCGGGTTGTAACTGGAGACACTTGTGGTATACGTTGGCGAAGGGCGTAGGCTTCACTCGTGACGATCGCCAAAATCCGCCTTATCCGCGTTATCTTTGATAAACTCCGAGAAGATAGCGCGGATCTGGGTGGCCGATGCGGCCCGGTTCGGGCACATCTGGCTGATGTGTCCTTCTTGGCCGCAGTTATAGCAACCAGTGCTGCGGGCCGTGGCGGGGGCCTGGGCCCGGTCGATCTCCATAGGCGCGGGTCCCGTCGAGGGTCCGGCGACCGTGGTTGCCCCGTTTCCTCGGGGTGCGGCCATGGTCGGTCCAGTGGCGCTGATCGCTGCGTTTCGGGCCCAACCGTTGAACGGGTTGCGGTTGCTGAGCCCGCTCTTGGCAGGGGCGGGCGCCGTCGGGGGCGTTTTGGCCCGAGGGTGGTTAACCTTGTGGCTTTCGTCGAAAATGCGGTAGCGGCGGAGTGCGCCATCTTGCTTGATGGCCTCTGCCTTCCAGGCCTCGTAGGTATCGGGGAGCGTGTCCTTTCGGTAGACCGCGTTTGTAACACCCCAGAGCATACAGTTCTTGGCGACGCGAATAAGGTTAACGTCGTCGTAATGCGCGACTTTGTTGAGAGAGTCGAGGACCGTGAAGTAGCTAGTCGCGTCCATGTCTTTGGTCTGGACGAAGGTTTCCATCTTCTGCTGCGCGATTTCGGCGTGAGCTTCCCCGCGGAAGGCCGCGATGAAGGCTTTCTCGAAGCCTTCGTACGTAGTATAGGCTGCGGCGGTACGGAGCTTCATGGCTTGGGAGACGTTTTCTTTCCACGTGACCGCGTTCCCGCCTTTGATATAGGAGAGTGCGTACGAAATCTTTCGCACCTCGTCGTTGTAAACATTCGGGTTGGCTTCGAAGGCCAACCAACAATCGGCCAGGAAGGCGTCTACTTCGCTGGCGTCGCCCGTGAACTCCTTAGGGGGAGAGACGGTTACTCGTGTATTTCCCCCGTGGGGCCGATGAGCCAAGTCCTCTCTGGCTTGGCGGAGCAGATCGTAGCTCTGCATGACTCCCTGTTGTACAGCTGCGTATTCCCCGTTTACTCGGGACAGCTCGGCCTCGAGGACCACTTGTCGATTCGTCAGGGCGGTGTTTTCCGCCTTGAGTTGCTCCATCTCCTGACTCGTTCGGAACAGATGGGCGAACAGGAACTCCTGTTGTTCGTTATGGCCCAGGGCTATGAATCGGGCACGTTCGTCCCCCTGGTTCGCAGGGGTGCCCATTGTACTGTCGTGCTCGGTAGACATTGTCGCACTTTCTTGCGTTCGTGGGGGAGGCTAATATTCTGTCAGCGCCGGGCTCGGGCCGTATCGGGGCGTCGGGGGGTCCGACTTCGAGAGGGTCTGAGGAGCACGAAAGGTGGGTATTCGCCCGGAGAATAGACGATATTAGCCTATCGACTACATCTTGTAAGTACGGTTTTATACGCCTATGATATTAGGGATAGATCAGATGGGCGCCAGGTCCCAGGGCGGATCGGATGGGCGCTGCGTAGGGCCGCAGGGGTGAAGGGAAGGGGTTGGAAGAATGGGGGATTGTCGAAGAGGGCGGCGGTATGCGGGCCCATGCGGGCCCCGTTCGGGCCCGTGCGGGCCCGTGCGGCCTTATGGCCCGGACGGCCCGACCTGAACCGTGACAGTGGGAAAGCAGGTACCTCCATCCCCAGGTATGAAAACCTGCGGATGCGGATTCCAGGTACCTGTGAAACCATCCGCAGGTCCAGCCACTTCTAGTCTCGGATCTGTGCTGTAGATGGAATTGTTTCACTGTAGGACCTCATATTCTTACTCACATCACCTATTGCTTCCCTCACTACACCAGTACAAATCTATCATATTATTGATACACAGTACTTATATAGTCAGTTAGAGTTTGTTCTCTGTACTATAGTCTTCCTTGCTTGAACTCTGTTCTATTAAGTAGAACAGTAAGAAAAACGACATAAATCAACATAATATAAAAAAGCCTCTTATACCAATGGTTTTTCTCATATAGGCATTTGTTTATACTATAATTTGAGGAGCATTTTTGGGTTTAAATTTCTTTGCTATCTAGTTGATATTTGTGGTTTGATTTTTCTCGGTCGTCATTTTTTTTTTTTTTTTTTTGACTAATTATTATTCTGATTTATCTTTTTGAAAGACCCTCCAGTTTTCTTCTGAGTCAGCGAGAGGTTAGCATCAAACATGATGTATGATGCTCAGTTTCAACATTCAACATCACCTCAACAGGCTGAACTTCAGCAAGTATTATGTCAATTTCAGGTTTCAGTCTCAGAATAAACAATGATAAACAATGATAAATAACCTCATATAAATAACCTCATATGCGCAAGTATCAGAGGTGTCCCGGCCTGAACACCAAACTTCTCTTCCAAACATGTTGGCACAATATACAATACTGACACCAGCAAACTACACACCCACTCCGTCCTGCGCCTACTGGGGGAACAGCCCGTTGACGAGCCCGGGGGTGCGGCCGCACGAGATGCTCTGCACGTCCTCCGGGATGTCCGCCGCCGCCTCCGAGTTCGAGAACGTCTCGCGCGCGGCCCGGAACTCGCCGTCCACGAGCGTCTCGCAGTCGGGGAACCTGCCATCACGTCAGCGCCGATCCACATGACATATGTACTCGAGCGAGCGAAAGCGCACCGGAAGAGCACACAGGTGTCGTCCTCCTGCATGACGATCGAGCGCGCCGCGGAGGCGTCCGTGCACGCCGTGTCCCCGATCGGCACCTGGCTCGAGTCCGTCACGTGGAACTCGATCGGGACGCACTCCCCTCCGCCGTCCGTGTCGGAGCACACTTGCACCGTGCCGTCCTGTTCCAGGCGGCGGACATGGTCCTGCGGGTGGGTCAGTGGGCCAGGAATATGGAGTGGCACAAGGGACGCACGAGGGGCGCGGCGACGCTCGAGAGCGAGAGGAGGAGCGCGGAGAATGCGGTCAACGCAGTGAAGTGCATGGCAGAAAGAAAAAGCGAAGATGAAGAGGGAGAAAGGGAGAAGAGAAGAGAAGAGAATGGCCGCGCACAGGCGGTGCGCCGCCTTATAACGCCGCGCGCAGACATGGTTGCTATGCCTGCGCTAATGTCGCTGCCGCTGTCCGATACCGCACGGGACTTAGGGCTCGCGCCGTTTGCGGTCCGCCGATGGCTTGGCGCACGTGGTCACGTCGTGGTGAGACGCGTGTGCGTCACGATTGTCGGACCACGCGTGCGTTCCCTGAGCGCAGCGCGCAAGCCCAGCTGGCTTGCGGAGTGTTCTCGGTGGAGGGACGCTAAATAGAATTCAGGCGCGACAGACGGGCGCTGATGTGCAAAAGGGTCGCCGTTGCCGTGGAGACCCGGCGGAGTTGCCGGCCCTTATTGGGCCCTTAAGAACCGATGCCCGCCGCTTGACGGCCGCGCTGACCGGCTGCCCGCGGAATTACGGGACTCCTCGATGCACTCAATTGGAACAAAATCGAGGATTTTTTAATCAAGGTGATAATGGCCCAAAAAAGGATACCTAAGCCTTTGTCTTATAAATAAATACAACAGCAATTCTATTAGAAAAAAAACATAATACGACTGACCTATTTCATTCAATTAGGCGGGTCACGGTCACATCAGATTTTTTTAGCCGAAATATTTTGGCGGGTCACAGGTCACAGCCAAATCTTTTGGTCCCAAACTGTCCCAATCGGGAAGATTTTCAAATTTTCGGCACCTGTGGCGCGCCGAACTTCCTAATCGGGTAGTAGGTCACGCCAAATTCCGCCTGTGGCCGAATTGGACATTTCGGCCAAACGGTCACGGGTCACAGGCCTGTTGAATTGATCGAAATGGGTCAGTATACTAATAATGTTGGATCTGATTTCCACCCTCAGGCTTGCAACGCACTGCGCAGGAGCGTAACAGCGGGGCATCCCGCTTGCGCACGGCCCAGAGCTTCGCTTTGTGCGCCGCCGCCCGGGGGCCGCGCGGACAAATGGTGTGGGATGTCACGGATAAGACCCGGCCCGTCCGCTCCGGCGCTGGTGTCGGGCCATTGCGGGCCCGCAACACGCAGCACGTGATGACGGGGAACATGCGCCCCAGTAGGAGGAACGCACCCGTGGGAAGCACGTGACCGAGAACGACGCGTCGAGCCGTCGCCGAGCCCAACTCGACACAAGGGGACTGGGGAGGAGTGCTAGGAGGTCAGGAGTAGCGCCTGGCCCGCAAGGGATGTACGATTGTCCCCTCTGCGGCCAGGAACGGGAGCGAGGAGGAGGAGGAGAGGCCAGGGTGTCCGATCACCCCCTTTGCGGGCCCGCGTATATAAGGCGCGATAGTGTACCCTGTACTCTATCGCTTAGATCGTCTAAAGAACTACCTTACTCCGTGCGAGGAGACGCTATCGACTCATCGGGCCCGACACGACCCGATTCGAACCTTCGACCACCGACTACGGCAAGGGACCGAGTTCACGGGCCCTTTCGGTTTCGATCTACCCCGCCCGCCGTACTTGCGGGCCCGACTATCCGTCTGTTCTGTTCCGGGCGCACGTTCTTAGGAGAAGTCCTCACACGGCCCGACCCGCAGTCTGACATGGGAGTGGGCAAGTGATGACTCGCTCGTCCTTTATAGGTGGGTGTGACTCCGCCAGATGATGAGCTGGTAGCTGTGCTGATCTGTAAGTACTAGTCACCGCATCAAGAACCAGGATTGGACACACGGGGCTGTGTGGGGCCGTGGGCCCAGGGCATTCATGACCACCAGGACCGTCCGCGTCAATGCAGGGGCGACGGACCGAGCAGCACAGAGCGCTCAGCGGTATGTGGGTTACGACGTCGGCTCGCCGCTCCGCGCAGTCGCAGAGCCCGACAGACACGCCGGCCAAGGGGAATGTGGACATGAAGAGAAAAGATGACACGTCACCGTGTCACACGGTGGCGGTGAAGCACGTGGAACGCGTGGAACGCGTCTGTGACATCAACAGGTGACACTAGTTTTTTTTTTCATATCTGCATTTATGATTTAAGGTGGGCCGACAAGCGGCGTAGCACAAACTGACTAGAAATACTGTAACATCAGTTGAATATTGACCCTTAAATACATGGTGATCAGTGACTATTGAAGCTCAATCAGTAAGAGTGACTTGAAATACTTATATAATTATAAGTGTCAGGGGAACCTCCCTTTCGGCCCGGAGACGCGCCCGATTCCGGTCCAATTCCGGTTCCGACTCCGGTCCAGCCCTCCATCTCGCCCGCACAATCACCGATCCGTCAACGCCCTCCCGACGGTCGCCCTGGGACCTCGCCTGCGACGCCGCCCAAGCCTTCTGTGCCCGACAGCGGCAGCTACATCAGCGAATCTGTAGAATTCTTGTGAGAGCGTGTGAGCAAATCGATCACGCGTGATTAAATCACAGTCTCGTTTCCTTCTCACAAGCTCTCATGAGCACTTCAGACGGCTGACAAGTCTGTGCTGCGCTAGTGAGTCTCTCACTTGTAAGCTATTCGACTGCCAGTGACTCATGATGCATCTTCCAGCCTCAACACTCACTATTCAGTGGACAAGATGCCGGGCACACTGCTCATTTGTCCATCGACAGTCGCATCAAGGAAACATGAGTAGCAGGCTAGGCCCGCGAGCACCACCGTCAACAATCCCTGCCAACGACACTCTCAGCCAGTGTGACGGTGACATCCACTGTCGTCGATACCAACAGCAAACATGCAAACATTCGACTCCAATATCGCCGACTTCTGGGGTTGGGAAACGGTTGCCAGCTCACAACCTGAAGAGGAGGAGCTTCCGAGGGCTCAGGTGCGTTCTTCCAGCTTCCATGTCTTCCATTCCCATTTCCTCACTTGCTTTCCAGCACCCTTTCCCGAGTCTCATCCCAGATATCAGTCATCCGTTGGCTATTCGTGGCTACATTACTGCGCCTGGTGGGCGCCAATTAGCTCTTAGAGTCCCGCCAAGCGAACGGTCTCGAATGCGTGTGAGTGCAACGCAAGCCGGGCTCCAAAGACGTCGACACCGTTACCTGGTTTATCATGTCTCTCAGGTGCGCTCTTCTTCTAACCTTACACTTTTACCTCTGATTCCATTCTTAGATGCCACAACATTTGCGCGAACGTGCTTTACTGGAGAAGCGTGCCATCAAGCGGCAACTTAAATGGCTCAAGAACGCAACGAAACGACTGCGTGCCGAGCACAAATACTTGCAGAGGGTTCTTCGAGCCCCAGGTGCTCGTGATTTCAAAGAAAATGTCTCTCCAATGTAGTTTGAATATACAATTTGATACTACAGACTTTTAGTAGCTATAAGCATGAATATCGAAGTCGTTGTCATCGAGTTGTGAGTTGCAATCGGACTCATCCTCTATTTCCTCTTCCTCTTCACCACCTGTTCCATAGTCTTCATCATAATAGAACTCTGGTTCCTCCAAGTCGTTCTCCATATTGATCTCAGTGACCTCATCATCTCCATCGTCAACCACGACATCGGTTTCATTGATATCCTCCAAATCAATGTCTTCTTCAGCTTCATTGGTTGCATTTGGAGCTGATGGTTGTAACGGCGTGATGGTTGGCAATGTGGGAGGTTCAGCATGAGGTGGAACACTGTCGAAGGAAGAGATAGCGCAGTCGAGATGGCCAACACCACCACCAACATACCGCATTAGCATATCACGATCAGCAAATCTGTCCGAGTCCAAGGTTAGCGACCACAAACAACGATTACTTACTTCCACGCACATATCAACATAGTAGCTCTTCCAATCATCGGTCTCGTCGAACAAGCGAGCTGCAGTCGGCTTCTGCGTTGATAAAAGATCATTTGTTCGACCCCCCGCAAAACGTGGAATAAGATGGCTCGCACGAATAACTTGTGCTGGATCAAGAAACCCAAAGGCATATGGATCGTCTTCGGGAACAAAACCAACTTGCGGAAGCTGTGCTGCTTCAATATCTCCAGGGCGCTCGGGGACAATGCCCATCCATCGGACCCAGAGAATCTCCATCGCGACTGGTGGCGTGGTGCCAGTTAAGAGAGAGCGATATGCTCTGGCGTGGAAGATCCCGATAACCTTGCAATACCAGTATGGGTGAGCCAGTCCACTGTCTGGTGCGCGCATTAGGACGAAGGGAGTTGTCAGCGGGTTGACAGTGTTGTAGTCTCGTCGAACATCATAGGTGGTATAGTTCACGCGCAGAGTTTTGGTGGCATACAGAGCATTGTTTAGCACATAAACAGTGTTTCTGTCGGCATCGGTGAAATCATGGTGGTCGTCGCCATCGAAAATACGGTGTTGTAGTCGTCCAAGAATATGATCTTGGAGCTTGGGGTAGAAATCCTGTCATGAACTAAGTAAACGGACACAGGCAAGTTCATGCTTGCAAAATTAGCTACCTTCATCGCAGGATCCTGCGTGCCGACAAATCTTGGAATGTCAATTGGAGATCGGCGAGCCCAACTAGTGTGATGATGGACCCGCATTGAGACCATTCCAAGCGGGTCAGACAAGCCTGAACGGACAAGGTGAAAATGTCGGGGCTGTCGAGCGCGATTGGCGCGAGCGGCTGCTCGTGCACGTGCAACCCGCATGTAGCGCTGGGCAAGTTGACGCTCATGGCCATTCTTGTTGGTCAATGTGTACATACGCTTGAGGAGGCGATGTAAACTTTCGCCCTGGAGAACTTTGTCAGAATTTGAATCCCGCAACCTTCGGCGGAAATATACTTGCAATTTGGGTTGAATAAATGTCAGTTGTCCCGAAGAGTCGAATAGTTGGGACATAGTCTCCCAGGGAATGCCATTTGTAGGTATTGAGATTAAATGCTTTGAGCTTGGGAGTCGAGGACGATGTTTTGCTGCCAGATGAGATAGCTTGATCATGGCGATGACGTGCTTCACGTGGCAATTCTTTGGTCTTGAATGCAGTACACGTTGTCTGCTGAAAATTGCGCATGAGCGTTCCAAGTTGACTCGTAAGCATGTCGAGGTGGTCAAGAGTCTGGTCCGTATGCATTCTGAGCTTGGCATAGCCGTGCCATTCAGCAAGACGGTACAGAAGCTTGAGAATGCAAGAGTTATGCTCGTCTGTGTCAGGCAGGGAAAATAAGCCTTCAAAAACCGGAATCGCACACTGGAGTAGATCTTCGAAATCACGTGCACTCAATTTCTTCATTTCAGACGCGTTTGTCGCAAATCGGCGAATGGTATCAATACCAAATCTTGGAACCTGACGATATCTATTGACTGGATGAGATCAACTCGGTATTATACTTTAAAGCATACCGTGAATCCAGTTCTGCCACCAGAGAAGGCCCATCCGGCATGGCATACAACAGACGGATAAGATGTGTAAATAGGTTCTTCCAGACCCCAAGTTCGAATTCGTGCATGAAGTCGACAACTAACATCCGGTGGAGGGGGAAATTGTGACCAAGGCGGTTGATAAATGCATTCTATATTATATTCCGAATCAAGACGATGAAAGCGAGCGGACTCAAGAATGCGTACGACAGTTGGCACAGATGATGTTGCCTTAAGCTCCTTCTCAACCTTGCTGGAGCGGACCCCCAAGCCATATGCATAGATGTATCGTCATGCTTTGGCAATCTTGCTGGAAAGATATTGCCGGACAAAACTACCCCCACGATTCACAAGATCTTGAATCTGGCCCATAAGGTGGAGCGCAGATTTTGGTGTCAGACAACGAGGACAGGGACATTCCCCATTTTCGCGGATTGTTGCGAGCAGAACCCTGGTAAATTATTTAGCTGACCATATTATACGCTTGTGAAAGCTTACTTCTCTGGATAATCAGCGGAGTAGGTGAATATTCGGGGATAAACACGTCGCTCAATACCATCGGCACATGTTACGACAATTCCGTACTGATAGTAGTGGAGGAATTCATCGTCAAGTAAATGCTTCCATACAGCATGAACAAGCTCGCGGCGACAATGGGCCAGTACCGATGCCTTTTGCGTATTCCATTTTGTGAAGATGGACTTGATTTGATCTTGAATTGCGTCCGGAAGCTGTCGGTTGGTTGTCAGTAAACAGTCGAGCATCAAGAGTAATAGCGTACGGAAGGAATATATGCTATATGGTGTTCCGCACCAATACTTGGTTTCCCACCAATATATTTAGATAGGTTACCAAAGAGCATGTAGATTGGCCAAAGCTTTGCGGTACCAAAGTTTGTGAGATGAGTCGAGTCAGACCAGAACAGAAGTGCAGCAACAATCTTCTCCCGTCCACATTTGAGATCATCGGGAGGAAGTTGACCGTGGCGCTGGACATGATCATGCTCCGCAATGAAAGCATCGGAATTATACAGCTCGCTATACACCCGAATAGGTGCGTCATGGCCAGGGAGCTTCCGAAATAGTTTGAATGGTGTGAGGTGAAAGTGTTGCGACAGTGGGTCGGCAAAAGCAGCCTTGATAACGTTGACAAGGCTTCTGAAATAGAGGCCTGGAACTGCCACGGTCACAGGCGGGGCTCGTCGCACACCAGTCGGCACCTGGATATCGACGGTTGTAGTAGTGAAATCTTTCATAAAAGGGAATGAGGTCTTTCCGTCTTCATCAACAAGTTTGTTGGCCCGACTTGCGTTGAAATCCACAAGATCATCGACGTTGAATTCGGGATTGAGAAGAACATCGTGAACGAGGGAATTTATTTCACTATCCGATTTGGTTACATTCCCGTTGTTCTTCCAGTCCATCAATAGTGTCGCCGTTGGATTTGTTGCTGGTGCAAGTAGCGTGGATTTTCTCGGAAGACCAACTGGGGGATTCCGAGAGAAATTGCCTGAAAGATCGTCGTCTTCGATGAGTGAATCAGGATCATACGATGGGCGATGGAGATACTCTCGCCATAGACCAAACACACTCGTTGCAATGGTCTTGAACCTATCGCGCACGATGAGCGTGACCCGAGGTAAGATTGGCCCCATGACCTCCTCAATCGGCGCAACATCAGGGACAAAATCGTTGAACCGTGCTGGAAGACGCGTTGTCCTTTTAGGGCGGCCAGAGTTTTCTCCCGTCTCCTCAGGCATCGGAGGAGCATTGCCAGTGCTTTGTTCAGCGCTTGCTTGCAGATTAATGCTGGTGTCGGAAGATGGTGGGGTTGGTATAGATAGCCCAGGGAGTTGGGAATGTGGCTCGAAGTCAGAATTAGTAGCTGGAGGCGAGTGCTACATTGGTTTAGTCAACTTTTTGATATGGTTATATGCAAGAGCCCACCTCTCTCCGCCGTTGTTTTCGTTCCACAAGAGCGGGTGGTGCCTTGCGCTTGGTTGAGAGCCTTTCCCTCAAAGTTGGTGGCCGAGTTGGGGTCAATGATGAGCGCTGTTGATGTGCCGCAAGCCGCTCTTGCTGGAATTGTCGATACTCAGTACAGGTTGACTGGTGTCGCGTCAGCCATCCATGGTCCGCAACTATTGTGCCGCAAGATGGTGCCAAACAACGAAAGGTAGCAGCAGCACTGCCAAGGCCATTTGGTGGGACGGCGGCCGGCATGCATAAGAAGAGAATGAGCAGAATAAAGAGAATGGTGTTGTGATGTTGACTGTGCCAGTGACGGCCCCAGCCCATCGGTATTGACTTCACGTCGGCGCGCACACACTGGCACGGCTTGCGACAGCGACTGGCAGTGGTGGAGGGGAAGAACAAATTCTTTTGGTCAATGCGATTACATGTTTCATACTAGTACCTAGTCACCAAGGGAATGATCCTCGTACTGAAAAAAAAAATTAGTTCGGATATAAAAGAATTTGTTTGTGATGCTTGCCTTTTTGCCTCCCTCTTCCCCTCCGACTGCCCCGCCTTTGAGTTATTGGTGGTGGCGGCAATGGCGCACCCCATAACCCCAAACCCATCATCCTCCCCAGCCCATAATGCATCAACAGCCACCCAAGACTCCGACGAGTCGGACGAAATGCTAGTCGACTGGAAAGCCAAGTACATGGCACTTGAGGCTCATTCACGGCTGACCAAGCGCAAGCGATCTGGCAAGTAGGTCTAGCTGGTACTTCACCAATAACATATATCACTCACTTACCATTCACAGTGAAACACAGGGCAGCATTACGCAGCAAGGCCGTGGTATCCGGTTGCTTGTATCGCTCTTTCTTGATCCAGCACAGATTGTTGTGGCTGGAGAAGCGTATGAGCAAACTCAACAGGAGCCTCTTGAGTATGACGAGTTCAATGACGAGTTGTCAGAGGAGCAGGAGAAGGCAGTGGCCGAACGTCGACCGTAAGTCTGAAGTAACTCAGATTCAAGTTGAAGCATTACTTCTCCACTCACAGAGATGAACGGCTCTTCACCGCATATCGCTTGCTACTTGAGCTTGTCCCAGGACTTCTCTACCAGTTGACAAACTGCAATAACCCCGACGACTTAACCAGCTACTACATACAGGTCAGCAGTGCTGGTGTCTGTGGACTGAAACTCACCATCGGCAGCTTAATAAGGGAGCTAACGACTCGCGTAGTGACGACATTGGCCGAATTACTAGACTCCTGGCAAATCTCATCAACAACGACCGATATAACAAGGAGATTCTTCAGTTTGACTTTACCCCACCTGCGAAAAACCAGGATGGTCAAACAATCAGAGACCAGCATGGAAACACAGTACGGCAATATGCACCTATCTTGACGCAAGAGCGCAACAACAGAGGTGTCCAGCATGATATCTGTGGTGGTTTGCTGTCGTCAACTGACTGTGACTGGAAAGACGACATGTTCGTTATCATCTCTGATCCGACCCTCACTTACTCTTCGCTTTCATTCAGTGCCCGCATTGCAGCACGCACATTCGAACCTGATTCCACCTACTCAGCCTCATTCCTCTGTCGCATTTTCTTCCAAGGCTTTGAGTTCAAGCCTGAAGACCCGTATGAAGGTTTTCTTCAGTCGCACTACCTCGTCAGCGTCAGCGCTTATTCCCTATCCAAAAACTTGTCTCATAACTGCCCAGTGCTACAAGTCCGTTTTCCTGGGTCCTTCCTCAGTCAAAAACAACGAAAATGTCCCACCTACTGCTAAAAGAATCAAGAATAATGTCGGTCAAGCTCGGAATGTGGCGACTAGACTCAAAATGAACGGTCGTGTAACTGGACGCTCTGTGGCATATATTGCAGTTCTGGTAGGTGCTTGCTGGTGGTAGTATAAGGACTGACCATTATCTTAGACCCACTTCTGCTTGACAAACGCAGAACAATGGACCGAGGAATTTGGCGGCTTCCTCTACTCTTCCATGTACAATTTTATTGTTGATTATTTCGAGGCTGCGCGGGTAGGGACGGCACACCGGGAGCGTGTGGATAAATTGTTGGCATGGTGGGACAGGTGAGTGGTCTCAAATGACATTCATTGCGCAAAAACTGAGCTTTACAACAGCCAAATCTTCCCCCACCACCCTTCTACTCGGACTGTCAGCAAGACTACCTCAAACACCATTGCCCGATTGCGTGGCCTTCGTTGATACCACACAAGCCTGTTCATTCTAGATAATATACAATATATCCTTTTAATTTGCTAGAGTATTCTGTCGGATTGAATTGTGTGTTCTGATAAGTGGGATACTATGCTTGTCTCATACTGGTGAGTTGCTATCTGTCGTGTACTGCCTCATGAGTAGGAGCAAGACTTTTGCATGCTCAGAAGCCCCGTGCCGACTAATGCTTACCGTTGAGCTTGACCAGCGATTGGGAAAGTGGATGGTGGCGATGATGGCTCATGAGAGCTTGCCAGTGACCACGCGGCTGATGTCATCCTCACAGCGCTCGTCGTCAATTCGCGAGTTGCAACCGTACTTGTGAGCACTCGTCAGCATTTTCCAAATTCACTGATGTACGGACAAGCAGTATATAGTCAGCTCCCTAGCAGGCGGACCCTTAGAGTTTCTTCTCTTTGGATCCTCCCCTGCTAGGACCTTGATCTCAGGCCTCCGGGGTTGCCCTTACAGACTGGGAGGACTTGGGCATGGTTGTGGTTGACTAGAGACCGCGTCGGGGCGGCCGCACGACTGATGTCATTTACAATTGAATCGTCCGGTTACTTTTTTGTACACCGTGTAGCTGACTATATACAGCCCGGGCTTGTCTTTAGCTACTGCTGTCAGGCACAGAAGGGCGGTGTCGCAGGCCAGGTCCCAGGGTGACTGTCAGGAGGGCATTGATGGATCCGTGATGGTGTGGGCTTGACCAGGTGTCAGACCAGACATGGAACCAGAATCGGAATGGAATTGGAATTGTCTCCGAGGGGCTGAAAGGGAGGAAAGAATATTCTGCTTGCATTCTGGGGAAGCATTGAGCATTTTGATGGTAATTTCCTATTTGAGATGTGATGACATAACCACGTCACACCTGCCAGTGCACACATGTGACATTCTGGCCTTGAATCACAATGCCTGTGGCCAAGAGGATATGTATCTCTTCTTCTTGCACTGAAAATCTGTGAGAAATAGTGCACCCTCCAAGTCTGCAACCGAGACTCTCCCAGACTCTGATGACAATGACACTAGCTGTTCAGACCCACTTGTCGAGAAGCCGACTCACTTCCAATAATCAAATGTATGGGGCCTACCCCCCTTGATTGAGTACATATCCTCCCACCTGGCTACACTTTTTTTCCTGATGATGAGCGTGATAAACTTGCAGCAGCTGCAAGTTTACTTGCTCATATCATGGTACACACTAATAACTGATTGGAAATAAAAAGTAATACATTGGTTTGGACAATGAGTAAGTATTCTCAACAACTTCAAGTTGAATCATATGCAGAAGGAGTCCCAGTGGCCAGTGGCCAGTGGCCAAGTGGCATGTCCAGTTGCGATCGGCGTTGTATCCCGCGACCATGGGCTGGTGTGGGGCGGATTGGTGCTATCCACGCGTCCATTGGTATATGAGTATGCTTGTAGCGATGGGTGGCACCCACCGATTGATACCACCGGCAGCAGCCAGTCCTTGGGGGGCGGGGCGGGCGGGGCGTGAATTGGTAGCGGGACGCGGACAATCTTGCGGCTGATCGAGCGCGAGTTGAGACTGGCGGGCTATAAGCACCGACAGACACAAGTGTATTAAACGACGCACGAGGCAAGGAGGCTGTTCGAATACACTGGGCGGCGTCAGTCACATGGCTGCGGAAACAATGGCACTCACTTTTGGCGAGGAATGTGTACAGCGCGAGCCACACGACTGGGCTTGGCTGTCAGTGTCCAAGGGGGGTTCAAGATCCGAATCACGGATATAGGGTCGGAAAGTTTTTTTCCGACCCTCCGGGGACCCCCCCCTCCCCCCCTCCTGCCATATAGGGTAATATGTTCCCACGATTAGCATCATGTGACCACTGATGTGATCAAAAATTGGCATAAAAAATTTAATCTTTGTGAAACTTTTTTTTTTCAAAAAAATTTATGTATCTGTATATGTATGTGTGTAGGTATCTATATACCTGGAACCCTCAAATACACATGGCAGGCCATATCACTGTTCAATATGTTCACCTCTCATCAATTACCTGATGATGGGCCTGTGATAGGGTGTACTATCCAGGCTTATGGGCCTGAAAGTATATAGATATAAGTATGGGGGGTTGTGAACTATAGAAATGAGAGTGTATACACTATATTTTCAGTGTCTTTACACCCATATAAGGCCCAAATCTTTTATATACAAAAAGTTTTTTTTACCCTCCGGGACCCCCCCCCTCCCCCCTACCCCATGTGCCTGATAAGGATCTTGAACCCCCCTTGTCAGTGTCTGCGTAGGTGATGTGAACATAGATGACCACGCACAGTTCTCCTTCATCGTCGCGAACTGGATACCTGTAGCTATATTAGGAGAACGGGCGGGAAGGCTGAGACCTACCGAGATGCCGACGGCCACCGACGTCAAACTGGCCATGGTGTCAGCCTGTCTCAAAGAAATGAACAATTTAATGTTACCTGGTGATGAGCCCAGTTTCTGCGCCATAATCAGAGTGAGCAACTTGAAGTACACAATCGGCCACAAGCACGCACCGATCGTCCAGACGACAAGTTTGTCAATGATCCGGCGCCCGCCAGGAAGGCTGTAGGCCCCGTACAACCGCCTGATGTAGTAGCAGAGCGCCACCGTGATGAGCACGTCGAGCACAACGCCGACGTTGATCGCCGCAGTGATCAGCCACCCAAATTCGAACTGGTATCGCGCGCCGTCCGGCTGCCGGGGCACATCCACGAAGCTCTCCGCGGCTGTCACGCAGCCGCCGCCCAGCCGCACGACTGCGAGCACGGCACAGATGCCCGGGACAAGCCGGCGCCCCGATAGCAGGTGGATGCGGTACGTGAAGAAGCCCTTCGGATTGTCAGAGTTGTTCTGCGAGTGCACCGGTGGTCAGCGTACCTGAACGAGGGCCGTGATGAGCAGCTCGAAGACGGGTGTGAGCGCCAGCGGGTAGGTGTTACCCGGCTTGAGGAGCTCAGGCAGCCCAGCGGACTGGACCGTAAAGATGTATAACGCGTAACACGAGCTGATAGTGTGTGCAAGTTCCAAAAAACTGTCAAGTCAGTCCATGTCGGAACTATCAAGCAAGGACCTCACATCACCATTACAACGAGGATCCGCAACCACAGGCGGTCGTCCTTAGCGCCGCCCCAGTAGATGTATGCCTGAAACATGACTGTACCGAACAGGAAAATGGACACCATGACGCCGATTTCGAAGGCACCCAGGATGAGCGGCGAGTCAACGCCGATCGACACCGTCCGTATGTGGGGTGAAAGCAACATTTTGACTGAGGAGATGATTAGTACTGAGGATCCGAGTCACTGAATGTCGCATTACTTATGTATGACTCCGAGGGCACAGAACCCAGATCGCACCCCGCTGCGTGGGAATCCAGCCGGAAAATGACAGATTTGGATACACGACGCCGATTCAAATCCTTGAGCTTCTGTGGAAACGGAGATGGCGATCGAGAACAGTGTAATTGTTTGATGTTGTTGCCGGCTTGAGCTTCGTAGGAGCGCCGCAAGGTCGCTGAGGATTGGTGGTTAATGTTTCTTGTGGGAAGATGAGGAGAAGGAGGCCGAGTCTGTGGTCGAATGATTGACGCCAGGAGCGACTCATGGATCCAAGAAAACCGATATTAGCCATAGCCATAATCGTAGTCCGATAGCTTCAAGTTTAGGAGCATCATTCAAAGTAACTGTTTTAGTTCAGCATATGACGCACCTCGTCCGCGGTGCGGCGCAGGACAAACCGCACACTGCGGAGCGCGACTCAGTCGGAGGTGCGCTGGGTAGCAGGTACCGGTCCGCCTCCTTATATGGTCCAAAACAAGTGTACGCCTATAGCTGGAGGATTTCGGCGGCCAGCGCACGCGGGTACTTGTAAGCGCCGAAGGACACGTCGTCATGCTGCATTGCACAGTGTCTGGGCTGGTGGTGATGGTTATGAGCAAGAGAGATCAATATTACGCAGTGTGTCACATGTTTTTCACGTGCCGTGACGGATTGGGTGACTGATGGCGTCCGTTGCCACGGAAATGGGACACCACGTGGCCCGCCTTCTCTTCTTTCCGTAACCACCACCACTAGACTGCACCGAGACTTCATCCGTCGACATGCGTAGCCGAGCACACACGCAAGCGGGCGGCCTTCTCCTAAGCCAAGTTGTGCAGGGCACTTCGAATCTCCAAGCCGACATGACATCACAGGTCGGAACGTCTTCCGAGGAGTGTCTGAGGTGATTACCCAGAGGCCCGCCCGCTGGCACTCCCGACGAATAAAATGCGGGAGGCTGCTGGAATGGAGGACCCAATTGCCCCACCAACCCAGCTGTTTCACTACGAAAATGTCTCTCCCTACCTTCGACGTCTCCAGCACTGCCGAGCAGGTCGCAGATACCTTCGCTAGCGACATCGCTGGGAAGAACGGTACGTCCATATAACCCCCCTCCATTGCAGCAACTTGCTCACCCGCTATTGTAGTCCTCGTCACCGGCACGTCGCAGAATGGCATCGGCTTTGAGACCGCGCGGGTTATCGCCAAATATGCCAACCTCGTCATCATCACCGGCTACAGCTTGGAGCGTCTTCAGAAGTCCGCTGAGGCTCTCCGCAAAGAGGGTGGAAAGGCTGAGATTCGTCCTCTTGTTCTCGACCTCGCCTCCCTCGCTGCTGTCCGCAAGGCCGCTGCTGAGGTTAACGCCTACTCTGAGCCCCTCCATGTATGTCTCAGCCGCCCTCAATCTCGCTGCCAATGGATTGACTTTTGCAGGTTCTCATTCACAATGCGGCGGACACCAACGCAACTTACCGCATCACCGAAGACGACATCGAAGGCCAGATGGCCATCGACCACCTCGGCCCCTTCCTCCTCACGAAACTTCTATACCCCAAACTCCTTGCCTCTACTTCTTCCTCGTGGCTCCCCCGTATCGTCATCGTTGCTTCTGGTGCCCAGGGCGCTGGCCCCGGCATCGACTGGACGATGCTCCGCAAGCCCCACCCCGGCTCACCGCAGGAGAGCAGTGTCTTCGCGCGCTACCACGAGGCCAAGTCCGCAAACGTGCTGTTTGCCCTTGCGCTCGCCAAGCGCTGCGAGGGGAAGCTCCGCGCCTACAGTTTGCATCCCGGTAGTACGTGATCTCGCCAGCCTATCTGCTCCTCGTTGATGCTCAATTTTGCAACTAGTCATCTTCAGCAACATCTTCACGAAGGAGGCGATGCTTCCGGCGCTCAAGGCCATGGGCGATATCAAGGAAGACGGATCACAGAACCCTGATGCATCCCACCCGTGGAAGACCATCCCAGAGGGCGCTGCCACGTACGCTTCCGCGGCTCGTTCCCTGACTTACGCTCATGGATCTTTCCCTCAGCACCCTCGTTGCGGCCTTCGATCATCGCCTAAATGGTTCGCGGTCTTCCTCCCTCCCTACCTTCCTTCTCCATTTATTCACGCATCTCGCAGACAAGTCCGGCGCCTACCTGATGGACTGCGCCGACGCCAGCGAGACTGCCGGCGGGCCGCACAACCGCAGCGCGTTCAACTCGGATATCGTAAGTCTTTCAAATTGCAAATTGCGAGGAGTTGGCGCTGACGATGCTCGTCTAGGCCAATGCGGATAAGTTGTGGACGCTGTCGGAGGAGATCGTCGGGGAGGAGTTCAAGATCTAAATTTAAGTGCCTATCTAGAATGTATGGACGACGCAAGTCCACATAGACTGCTACTTTTTGTACAACATGGCTGGGATTTTCACCAGTTAAAACGTGATTAAAGACAATTTGTGGCGTCGTAGTTCCCAATGCAACAGCTTCTCTCAATAGATCGAAGGAAAGTTACTAGTAGTCTTCTTTGCACTGGCAGATCCTGGCTTTATTTTGCTTGAACTTGGGAATTTCTGCAATGAAAACTTGATATAGCACTGCTATTCTGGTTGATCAATCTAGTCTCATCGTTGTACCCCAATCAGCGCTGGCGCTCACCGGCGCATCTGATCCGAATCCGAGCCATCGTTGTCATGGCGGCAGGCTCACGCCAACTGACTACTGTTCGGCAGCGCTGTACGAGTATATCACTGGCAGTCTCGCGTTCAGCGCCTTCCACACCACCCCCCAAGGCTATTCCACAATGCCGCTTCTTCCCCTCCGCGACGTCCTTCCCATTGAGCTCTGGGAGCTCGTGATCCAGGATCTCGATGACGACGACCTTCTGCTATTCTCCGGCGCCGCTGCCGCCTTGCACGAGCTCTGCACACGGCGCTACTTTGCACACCACAAGCGTGGGACTGTCACGCTAGTCCGGCCCGATCTGCCGGTGGTGCGTGTGCTGTCGGATGCGTGGGGCCCGCTGCTGCGCCGTATGAGGATCGAATATGGATATATGGGCGCGGCAGAGATAGACGCGCTGCAGGGGCTACTGGCCAACGCGAAAAAGCTACGGCAACTAACTCTTACTTGGGATCGAGCGAACTGGGACAGCGCCGAGTTCTGCCGGGCGCTGTTCCTGGCCGCGCGCAACGTGAACGGGCCCGTGATTGTGCACTACTCACAGGCTTTCTTTACGTGTCTTTCCGGGGACATCGCACGGTGGGACCTGGGCTTCGGGCAGCGGCTGAACCCTCCGGCCCGCGGCGGCGGCGGCCGCACTCCGGATACTTACTATGAAACAACAACGACGTGCCACGACCGCAGCCGCCGCCGGGTCGCGAAGCCGCCGAGGGTTATCGACGAGGTCAAGTTCACGGTGCTCGGGCCGCGCGCGGCCGGCGGTCGGCCGTGCAGCATGCTCCTCTTCAACCCCTCGGCGATCACGGAATTTACGCTCACGGACACCCTCTCTGCCTCCGTGCGCCCGTACCTGGCCATTTTCCTGCGTTATGTACGCCTCCCTGCCATGCGCAGCCTCCACATCGCGCCGCGCAACATCGCGGACCCTGACGCAGTCCGTGTATTCCTCCAGAATCACCCAGAGCTCACCACGGTGGCAAGCACTGGAAGTGCCAGCAGGGAGTCTGGCGCCGAGGGTCCGCTGATTGATCCGCCGCTAATGCTGCCAGCGCTGGCCGAGGTCGTTACGCATGCCGAACATGGCACCGTGGCCGGCGGCCTGATCCCGGGGCTCGCGCGGACCCCGGCGCTGCGTACTGTCTCATTCCACTTTGGAGAGACTGCCGCTGACATTACGCCGTTCTTTCGTGACCTCGAGGCACTCGCTGTCTGCCGGCCAGCCGCCGGCGAGCTTGAACTGCAGCTTACACTGACGCCCGGGTCCAGCAAGCCTGGCGGCGGCGCGCGGCTCCGCTCCGGCTCGCACGCCCCTGCGCTCTGGGCCAACACGACACCTTTCTTCGACGCTGCTGGTGCGCTCACATGCGTCAACCAGCTCACACTGAATGTATACACGCTGCAGTGCGCGCGCAATCTGCTGCCGTGGACGACCCACTTTCCCGCGCTGACTCAGCTCACGTTTTGTCTATGCCTACCGCCTCCTGATGATCCTCCAGCGCAGGAATTGATGCGTTCAGCATTCTGGGATGAGGCTGCTAGTCGCTTGACCAATTCACAGTTTCTGGGAGTGTACATTAAAACTGTTTATTAATCAGAACAAAATGCTCATTGATCAGTGACAGTGCTAGTGATTATCAAGAGATGGTTATTCCCTGATAACAATAGCAGACATGCTCATAACTATGTTACTACCAGGTATATATCTGGTTACCAAATACACACTAGTGTAGGACCTTCCACATAAATATAGATAGTTGTCACATGGTAAATTCAAATCTTTCTTTTCCCCCAGAAACATGAACACAAATATCACCTTTTAATATATATTTCCTTCTGAAAGAAATAAGATATTTTATCTGAATAAAAATAGACACCAAAATGATTTCTTTTTATCCATCTTTAAGTACCAGAGAAAGACACTCTTTTCATCACAATGAAAGAGCAATTAAAAGACTGCCATTTTGTCCAACTTTCGAAGCGGATCATGGAGTTCAATGTGGTTGTGACCACATACGGAACAGGGCACCCTCCCGAGCCAGGCGGGCCTGAACCATTCGTGGCAGACCTCTTCTGCGCCGCGTTAGTACGACAACGCGGGCACGAAAAGAAGTGCTACCCATTCGCTTGCGATCCCGGACATGCCACATTGCAGCCCAGTAGCGAGTGGTGCACTTGTTGAGCTGTCGGAGGCGATTCTTGGGCAAAGACGTGTGTCCGATCTTGAAAATGTGCTGCCCATTTCGCAATTTGAGGTCCAAGGCGTAGATTACGCCAGGACCGTCTTTGGGTGGAGAGTGGTGATGGTTGGAGATCAGTAGCACTCGCGCTTGAATGGCGAGACGTAATTGTTGAGGGGATGGGAATTTGAGAGCGAGGGTTAATGTGCGGGTGCGAGCATCTTTTTGCAAAAACACAAAGATCACAATTTGTTGTAGACAGAAAGTTGGACAAAATGGCAGTCTTTTAATTGCTCTTTCATTGTGATGAAAAGAGAGTCTTTCTCTTTTCAGAAGGAAATATATATTAAAAGGTGATATTTGTGTTCATGTTTCTGAGGGAAAAGAAAGATTTGAATTTACCGTGTGTGTTGTTGCATTTGTAGGCTTCTTTTTGAAGGAATCCATCACATGATCTGGCATCAAATAAGCCAAAGGCAACGAATCTTGCCCTACAGGCCCATCTAGAACAGTATTACAAGTGAGAAATGCCATCTTTCAGTTAAATAAACCTTATAAACTCAAGTATATACCATAAAATTGTTCATCATTTTATATTATTATATTACTATTTTTAACCGTTTTTAAATGGTAATAAACGTTTACTAAACGTTTTCTTACCATTTCCATTTAGTTTACCTGGAGGTGTAAATGAAAACTAAATAGTTGGAGCCCTAGAGATGTTAGGGTGCAGGATTTAATTAGTGTTTTAATTAGTGTTTCAACCTGCATTGTGGAACATGCACCGGTGATTTGGACAAAAAGGGTGGCCCAAAGCTGGATTTATAGGGCAAAAATCTGGTGCCAAAAATTGCCAGCTGATTACTGCTAAATCAAGACCTGAGATATAAATGAGCATGACCGAGTATATACAAGAATAGTAGGACTGGGACTCACACAGTAGGACTTAGTCCTACTTTGATAGCTCCCATATCACACCCTGTTGATTCCTACCACATACCTATCCTTTTTGATCCAATCATCGCCCTGATGACATCCCCGCTTGTCACTGTTCCTGTCAAATGTCTATGTCCTGTTGCATAGCCTTACTCTGACAGTAGTGTGACAAGTGCCATGGTGAAACAGCTACTTACAGTCTAGTTTAGTCTGACACCTGTTGCACTAGTATGTGACGTCACAGGTGCAGACGGTATATAAGTAGCCTGCTAGATCTCCTGTACCCTAGTCCTTTTATTCTCATTGATTACACCAAACACACCTACCTGTTTGGGAGTCTGTCACACTAGTAACAAACTCCTACCATCTTACGAATCCTCCCTTTACTTTGTTCTACGGAGCCATCACTTGATCACTCATTCAGTTGACCCATCATTTGATCAAGCTCTGTTTGTGACATAATAAAAGGACTACCTTCGTACCCTCGTACCAACAACTACCAACAACCACCAACTATCAACCACTACCCCTATCCCTTACCTCTACTCCGCCACCCTCATCATACTACTATGACTACCAAAGTCATTCTCGCCTCTACTCCCTCGTTCTTCGATGGCACTCCAGCCAAGTGGAACAACTTTTACGACACTCTCACTACCTATATCGGTGCTTACGACAGTGAACTGAATACTGAGAAGAAGCGGATCTTCTTCACAGTATCCTTTCTTCGAAAGGCAGATGGTTCAGACTGTGTAGCAGCTGATTGGGTCCGCAACTGGAAGAAGCGTACTCTGAATCCAGATGGTACTCTTCGCACCTCCTATACTTTTGCAGAACTCATCACTGAGCTAGAATCTGCCTTTGAGGATAAGAACCTCTCACAGATTGCTCATCTGAAATTAACAAGTAATTGCCAGGGGCGTATGTCACTTGTTGAATTCTTGCAACAGTTTGAAATTCATGCAGAACAGGCTGGTTACTCACCCCATGCAGAGGGTGGTAACTATGATGCCTTCCTGGTGGAACTTCTAGAGGACAATGTGAATGAAGATATCATCAGTCAGATGTATGTTGGAGGGGATGTCCTGCCTTCCACATACAAGCTCTTCAAGGAACGATTGCTACAGATTGATGGAAATCTGCAGCGAAGCAAGATTCGACGCAATCGACAAGTTACATCTCCGGTACACAAACCACGAGCAGTACATCATACTCCCCGTGGGTTTACTCCTACCCCAGTGGGCTTGACTCAGAAAACCTCTCAGTCAGTTCAAGACCAAGTGGTACCCATGGATGTGGACAAGCAAAGGCAAAAAGGAAAGCCTTTCACTTGTTATAATTGCGGCAAGATTGGACATTTGAGCAGAAACTGCAGTGAACCCCACAAGCAAGGATTCAATCTTCGAGCGCTTTGCGCTGAGATTGATGGCTTGGACACTGGCAGTGAAGTTCTGCAGACTCTCGCTACAAAGCTGAGAGAACGGGGTTTTTGAAGCGCTCAGTGCCAATGGCCAAGGTAGCTGAGCAGAAGTTTGGAAGATATACAATTCTTGA